GGAGCCCGACATGGGGCCTGAACCCACAAAACCGTGGTGAGATCATGACCTGAGCTGAAATCAAGAGTCGGACACTTAACCAACTGAGCCACCCAGGCGCCCCAAAACAAGAGACTTTAAAAAGGCTAAAGCTTAATCTTCAGGTGCTCAATGTTTACCTTAAATATAAAACTGCCAGTTATTTTACCAGCAAAAATGGCTTTATTCTGGAATAGCAGGGAATTGCACTCCAGGACTAGCAAGCCCAGGAAAAACCACAGGCTAGTCTTCAGAACAAATAAGTGGATCACTCTTGCATACAGAAGGGGGATTTGGGAAGGGTATTGATAAACAAAAAGTTCATTAGAGTAAAGGGAGTTGTAGTGGCTTCTCATTGGCTGACCTATGACTGTCTCTCTTGTCTGGGCTGTTGTGAAGAAACCATCCTTCCTCCTGCTGAGGTAGTAAAGTAGTCAAAGTAGCATCCACTTGCAAGATGGTCTCTTCCTGTTCGATAAGATACTATGGAGTAAAAGGATCCATTTAAATAGCAAAACTAAAACAGAAATAAGGCACTGTCAAAAAAACCAAAAAAAAAAAAACCCTCCCAAACTAAGATAGACTTGGCAACAAATAAGAAAAATACAAAAGAATGACAGAGAGAAAAGAAGTCGATGGAAAGACATAATGTGTTGGTTTTTTTTTTACCTTTTTTTTTTGAGAGAGACACACACACAGCATGAGCGGGGGAGGGGCAGAGGGAGAGGGAGACACAGAATCCCAAGCAGGTTCCAGGTTTTGAGCTGTTAGCACAGAGCCTGACTCAGGGATCAAATCCACGAAAGGTGATATCATGACGTGGGCCGAAGCTGTACGCTTAACTGACTGAGCCACCCAGGCGCCCCATGTTCTTGAACAGAAATACGGAGAGTTATAAATATGTCAGGTCTCCATATGTTAATGTAAATTTTAATGTTATTCCAATAAAATAACAATGTCATTTATGGAATTTTCCAAGCTCATGAAATAGTTATGTGTAAAAATAAACTCGAATAGCAAGGAAACTTGAAAATAATTAAAAATAGTGGGTGGGCTAGCCTGTCAGATATTAATATTTCTTTTTTTCCTTTAGAATTATTTTATTAAATCATAGGTATACAACAGCTTCTTTACACACTCAAATTTTTTTAAAGGAAAAATATGTCTTACTACACCATGATCCTGGGTAATAGCTTTTCAAAACTTGGAGAAAAATCTTAAAAAAGGTTTCACGTGTCATCTGAGACTTACAAATTTAACATTATCAAAGAAGGAATGCTTCTACATTCTTACAAAACCACAAGAAAGAAATAACGATTCGGGGCACCTGGGTAGTTCAGTCGGTAGAGCCTCCGACTTTGTCTGGGTTCATGATCTCATGGTTTGTGGAATTGAGCCCCACATCAGCATGGAGCCTGCTTCGGATCCTCTGTCCCCCTCTTTCTGCCCCTCCACTTGTGCTTTTCTGTCTCTCAAAAATAACTAAGCGTTAAAAAACAAAACAAAACAAATAAAAGAATCAACAATTAAAAAGCTAAGAAAGACTTTTTTTTTTTTTTTTACAATTCTTCCTCCACAGTAACGTGCTGTTATTAAACAATCCATTCACAAAATGGCTCTCTGCATCTGTCCTGGTGCCTTCTGCCATATCGGGGGTAGGTATTAACATTTCTTATAAATATTCATATTAAAACTGTCCAGTTTGACAAGTGAGGATACAGTCATATTAATATGATTTAAATAAAATCTAGAAGTAGGTCTGGGGTGGTTAATTTTATGTATTGTATAGGGGGAGCAGAGCGGAAGGTGCAGACCCTGTGGCCCCAGGCCCAGGTCCTGGGGGAATTTGGAGCTCCCTGAGTTCTGCCACCTGGCGACTGCAGGGTTGGGTGTCAGTGTGATGAGGGAGAATAAGGCAGTCTGGCACCCCACAACCCCGCCCGTGGGATCTGTGTGACATTCCTCAGGCACTTCTGGCTGCCCAAGAACCAAGGAAAGGGGCAAACAAATGGTTGACTGATAGAGATCAGAGTCAGGTAGGACCTGGGCCTCCATCAGTTTAGATGTTTTAGTAAATTACAAGAAAAAGGCAATCTTATCAGTAGCTTAATCTTCAGAAACCTGTAGACTCCGTCTCTTGGAGCTCCAACTTCACCCTCTCCTCCATAGTGATTTGGGGGACAAAGGCAAGAAGGGAATTGAAGTTAAAACTAAATTTCTTTATAACCTTCAGTCCATTGACAAATACTTGAGGCTGATACAGAGTATAACATTTCTCCAGGCACTCCCTACTTAGGTCTTAGCTTAGAGGGAAAACAACCTTAGCTTGACAATAGCAAGGCCTCATGTATCTTTGGAGTCCTCTTTAGCATATGAAAGTCTTCTGGAGGCCTCCCTTGGGTCTTTACCTTCCCCGACTCCATAGTATGTAACAGTCACTCTTCACAATCCTAGTGAAGCTCTCTCTGCCCACGGTCCTGTCCCGGTGCTTTAATAAAATCACCTTTTTGCATCAAAGACGTCTCAAGAATTCTTTCTTAGCCATCAGCTCTGAACCCCCATCATTCCCAAACCCCATCATTCCTGCTGGAGGTCCTTGCCATAGGGCTGGGCGTGGCCCCATATGAGACTGCCTGGGTGACCCTGGCCGCCTACCTGGCCTCCCACGAGCTGTCCTAGCTGTCCCTGGGGCCTCCACTGTGAATCAGGGCCCAGCACGGGGCGCGTAGGTGAGCAAAACCCTTTTTCTTGGCCGTCGCAATGTGAGATTAAATTCCAGACGCTCTCACAGCCAATAACAGTAATAATAATGTGTCTTATATACATATATCAGTAGTAGTGGTTCTATTTTTCTGGAGAATCGTGATGAATTTGGGCCCACAAGTATTCAGTGAAATGATCATTAAGGGAAGTAAATTTCTTTTTTTTTTTTTTAAATGTTTATTTTTGGGCGCCTGGGTGGCTCAGTCGGTTGAGCATCCGACTTCGGCTCAGGTCATGATCTCGCAGTCCGTGAGTTCGAGTCCCACGTCGGGCTCTGTGCTGACAGCTCAGAGCCTGGAGCCCGTTTCAGATTCTGTGTCTCCCTCTCTCTGACCCTCCCCTGTTCATGCTCTGTCTCTCTCTGTCTCAAAAACAAATAAAATGTTAAAAAAAAAAAATTTAAAAAAAAATGTTTATTTTTGAGTGAGAGAGACAGAGTGCAAACGGGGAGGAGCAGAGAGAGAGGGAGACACAGACACCGAAGCAGGCTCCAGGCTCCCAGCTGTCAGCACAGAGCTTAACGTGGGACTCGAACTCACGGACTGCGAGATCATGACCTGAGCCGATCAACTGACTGAGCCACCCAGCTGCCCCTAAATTTCAAAATATTTTGGAAAAGATAACAC